GGAGCTTGTTCATCAGGCAGTGTGGTAAAGGATAGGACGATCAACCACCCTGGGTCAAACTGTTCACTTCACAGTCACAGGTCTATTTTCACTCATTTAACCCAAACACATAAGCTCAAAGCAAACCTCCACAGCTAAACCCAGCACAGCTAACACAACATGTAGTGGTTCGGCAGGTTTTTTCTCCGAAAGAATTCTGAGTATTCGGTTATCACGGAAAGTGTGAACACCCTTTCCTTTCTTGACAATGGGGTGAGCGTACCTGTAGCGATGCAAGCAGGTAAATGTGGGCAGATTACCTAGGATAGAGGTTGAGCTTTACAATAGCCTTTCCAGGTATAGAGCATCTGCCTTACATCATGCTGCACTGTGGGACACACCTGCATGAAGCACGAGATAAGTCCCCTTCTAATTGGGTCCGGTTCCTCCCACACGGCAGCCACATTTGTCAACAAAGGCGGGAGGACACGAAGAAACACACAAACACATACAATCTCAATGTCTCGATAGGTAACCACTTTTCATCAGTCTTGCAAATTGTTTCAAATTGTTTCATATGTATAAATTTAATAAAACACTAAATGTCATTATGAGATACTAGTGTGAAGAAATCGATTTTAAAAATATTTTTATAAAAAAATATATCTCAGCAAGTACTTTCAAATTCAATAACAGTACATGCTGTTTTGGCCAACGTAAACACTTCTTTTCATGCCTAATAAGGACACAAATTGTGACAGATCAATGAATCCCTAGGAGGGAGGAGAGAGTGGCTTATATTCATGACATCCCACGAAAAGGCACAATCAAGTGTCCCCATGGAGATCCAGGTAAGACAGAACTTGCCTTCAGCAACCCACACCTGTCGTCAAAGAGGATTAACAGGTTTGGTCGGTCAGACTCGCTGACTTGGTTGATGCATGTCACCGTATCCCCTTTGAGTGGATCGAAGCTCATGACATCTATCACTGAATTGTTTGGTCCAGATTTGATTATTTACAGACTGACGTAATTATAGATCAAACATTGCTAAGTGGTGTGGAAAACAACAAACAAATAAACTGTCCCGGAAAGTGACAAAGACACAAGCATGGTGGGTGAGCTGGGGAGGGGGAGCCTGTCCTGTCGAGGATCCTCCATGTTCCATTCATCCCCAGCATCCTGTTCTGACAGAGATGAAACAGAGCCTCACACGACAGCTTCATCACCAGAACTAACACATCAGACCCAGCTTGTATCACAGCAAGTCACCAATCCTAATCCCAAAATTACATTTCAACACAATGATGCCATTGCTGAAGATATTTGGTTATTGATGGTAAATGTTATTTCATTCATTAAAAGAAACAATTGTCTCACTTCTTTCCTTAAGTTTTGTCAAACACTCTGAAAGGCAGAGGTTTGTAAACTGATCACAATGGGGTCAACTGGCATTTTGTTTGAGCGGGGTTATTCCCCTTTTCTATATTTCATAAGACCAGCATGAATAGTGAGAATTGTCTGATGAAAACAACTTTACTTCAATCTCAGATAATTTATCACATTATAGATATAAGGTATTCAAATTTTACTTTACAAATACCAGGTAATTATTGCCATTATCAACGGGACCTAAATATTTTTTGTTCAAGGGTCCTGATGAGAGATGTGAAGGTCCCTGCTATACAACACAAGCTTATGTCAACCTTAAAATAATATGACAGTGGTCTGTAAATAATCGAGCCTGGGCCAAGCAATTCAGTGATTGACATCACTAGTATCGATCCATGGAATTGAAATACAATAACGTCAGTGGTCAGCGAGTCTAACCACCCCGTCCACGGTCCACGTCGTCGCCTCAAACAACAAGCATGGGTTGCTGGGGATCTATATTCTCAGCCAGAATCTCCATGGGTATGAGATAATGCAGTCCTACAGACAGGAAGTAGATATTCTGTGCTTATAAACAAACACAGGTTATCACTGGAAGAGTGAGATGCGGTTACAGCACGTCTCCCACTTTCATCACTTACTGAAACAAGCCAGGTACGAGAAGGGAGGAAATCTGGGACGTTCACAGGGATACATGTAGACCTGCTCCTCCAAGGCCGGTAGTTGTTTGCTATTATCTATTGATGTCCTTTGTAACTTGTATGTATTTAAGATTGTACGTGAACTGTATTCTATAACTTATTGCTTGTGTACTCCAAAAAGAAATATAAACAAAAAGCATTATCATCATCAACAACAACAGAAAAGGACCAATCGGAAGAGGCTATTATACTTCAATTGTTGCATTGAATGTAACGTTAATTAACAGTGTTGAAATACTTCTGAAATTAAGAAACTAGGAACATTAAAAGCATCTAAATTTTGAACAAAATATAAAAATATCCCAATATCCCCGATACATCCCTGGTAAGTCAACAATCAGCTGACTTCTAAATGTCACAACTCAGTCCAACAATTTGTTTAAGACTTTAAACTTTGACACTTATTCCCGTACTTGTTCGCAGTTCAGATACCAGTGGTCTGTAATCAGTTTCAAATAGTACATAAGTATTATATATAAACACAATGACTTCAGGCACTCCCTATAAGAAGATGGCTCAATGATGATACGGCTGAGGGACACTGAAACACCTGGCTGACAGACGTCACAAACCCCCTCCCCTACCTCCAGCAGCTCCATCACCGATAACATCATCATCAAAAACAACAACAACATCAACACATGTGATGTGGAATTCTGTACTAAGACTACCCCCTGGATGGCAGGAGGTGGTAACAGTCTTCCTGTTTACAGTAATTACCAGGAAGTTTTTTTCCGGAAAAATTAGGCTTAGACCGGTAATTCATGTGACTGTCAGTACCTGTGGACCATCACTTCAGAGATGACGCCATTGAATTTGTCAGCCATGAACGTTCATGTCAGCCATGATTGCTCATTTACATAGCAAAGGAAAAAGATGCCTCAATACTGATGGCTTTCATATTAAAGTGAGTGAGTGAGTTTGGTTTAACGCCGCTTTTAACAGTATTCCAGTTATATCGTGGCGTGTCAGCTTAATGTGGGAGGAAAGCCCAGTGATGTAGGTCTAAGACCTTAACCACTTCGGTGAAACCCACGAGCACGGGTATGGTGCTGACAAATCTAGAAACATAATCAGGGTGAACCCGGGATTCAAACCCACAATCATAGGTATCTGGCGTGCCCAAGGGACGCAACTCTGCACAGCGAATCGCAGCGCCTTAGACGACTGGACCAAAGACGTTGAGTTGCAGCTCAATCTCATTAAAACCAGGTCTTGGTTCTCGCTTCCGCTAAACAAAGCGAACGAGGATCAGATTTAAATGAGATTGAGTTGCTGCTGTATCAACAAACTCAGGGCAAAGCTGACAATCAGGGAGACCGGCTCCAAATTTACAGTCGAGCCAAAAATGGACTGGAAGAGTGTAAAGAAAGTTAACATCAGTGCTCATGTCAGAAAAAACAGAAAGGCGTCTTAGTGTTTTCTGATATTTTCACATTTCAGTTGTAGACAGACAGTCAAAGTCAAATCTGTCAAGTTCCCAACTTTTCTGCTTAACCCATGCTGATGCAGGCAAGGGAGGTAACTACTTAAACTAGTCTATACATGACTGAGCTGACTGGCAATGCACACAAAACAGACACGACTCTCCATCATACAAGTGGAAAAGGTCCTGTGATGGATGACGGCTTCAGATGCTAGCTACACGGTAAGCTGCCTACTGACACTGGAACGTCCTAAGGTAGCAGCATGTCCTGGGAACGACCTACTCTCCCTTCGACTGGCTGGACTTGAAGTATGTTGGAATGTCACCAACTGAACTCAAATCAATGTTTTAAGGACATTTGAAGCCATTGTTAAATGTTTATTATGAATCAACAATCATTAGGATAAGAGCTCATGATCTTGAAAGTTTCTAAATATTATGCAAGAGCCATTTTCATTTCATGATGTTAAAGCCAAATTGAAAAATGTTTACTAAAGAACTTGGCATTGAATGAGGAACATATGCATTTTCAGCAACTGACTGAAGCGTACATAAAATCTTCACTGACATTTGCAACCGCTTGTGAAACCAAGTCAACAAGAGTTATGTCCCCTTACTGAAACGTAAAATGAACAGTTGTTTTTATGCCCAAGTTTCCAATACAAACAAAGACACCTACTTTGTGGCATCAGCAATATTAGATATAAATGTGACCTTATTTCCATTAGCGGTCAAGGCAAACCATCTGAGATTAACACACAACAAGATGGTAAACATCCCAAATCACAGACACAACAGCTACCACTATTTCAAGTGTATCATGGACATGTCATTTGGGTGGTAGATGGCAATTCAAGATTGGTGCAATTCATAAAATCATTTTTAAATGCTGTTAAAATAAAAAAAATACTACAAATGTATAGTCTAACATCATGAGAAGACATTTGGGAACTTGTTGAACATACACCTGTAATAGACATAATTAATGTTTGAAAAATGACATGATAAGTCATTTTTTTCTAATTCTTTACTTTTAGTCAAGGCAATCATAATGGGGTTCTTAATGGTGAGTTTAAGTAACTATTTCCATCGTCTGGGTTGGCATCTCAGAAAGTGATGCAGGACATACATTCTGGTGGAACCCCCAAGTATGTGCATGGTTCTGAGAGACAAAGGAATGTAATTGAGGCAAATATGGATTCAAATCCACACACAAAGTGTCGCTCCTGGTCCAGAGCAAATTGCGACTCCTTAACCCTTCTATCAGAACAGTCTGTCTGTTTCTGTTTGTCCACTTGAAAGCCTTGACCACTGGTGGTGTGAGTGAATGAGTATGGTTTTATGCCGCTTTTAGCAATATTCCAGCAATATCACGGCAGGGGACACCAGAAATGGGCTTCACACATTGTACCCATGTCAGGAATCGAACCCGGGTCTTCGGCGTGACGAGCGAACGCTTTAACCACTAGGCTACCCGACCGCCCCCCACTGGTGGTGTGAATGTAATCAATAAATAATCAGTTAACTTCTCATTATTGTGGCGAAAACCACAATCATAGGTTTCTGGTGTGCCTTATGGACGCAACTCTGCACAGCAAATCGCGCGCCTTAGATGACTGGGCCACCCGTGCCCCCTGTAAGTCAAGGTTAAACCCTGTAGCGTTGTTCTGAGAACCATCTAGGTAAACAACTTTTTTATTAGTGAATGGATCAAACTGACTAGATGCAGCTCCCCTAACAACTCAAACACAAACAGCTCACTGACCAGATGCAGCTCCTCTAACAACTCAAACACAAACAGCTCACTGACCAGATGCAGCTCCCCTAACAACTCAAACACAAACAGCTCACTGACCAGATGCAGCTCCCCTAACAACTCAAACAGCTCACTGACCAGATGCAGCTCCCCTAACAACTCAAACACAAACAGCTCACTGACCAGATGCAGCTCCCCTAACAACTCAAACACAAACAGCTCACTGACCAGATGCAGCTCCCCTAACAACTCAAACTCAAACAGCTCACTGACTAGATGCAGCTCCCCTAACAACTCAAACACAAACAGCTCACTGACCAGATGCAGCTCCCCTAACAACTCAAACACAAACAGCTCACTGACCAGATGCAGCTCCCCTAACAACTCAAACACAAACAGCTCACTGACAAGATGCAGCTCCCCTAACAACTCAAACAGCTCACTGACTCTATGCAGCTCCCCTAACAACTCAAACACAAACAGCTCACTGACCAGGTGCAGCTCCCCTAACAACTCAAACAGCTCACTGACCAGGTGCAGCTCCCCTAACAACTCAAACAGCTCACTGACCAGGTGCAGCTCCCCTAACAACTCAAACAGCTCACTGACCAGATGCAGCTCCCCTAACAACTCAAACACAAACAGCTCACTTACACACCACATTCCCCCTATTCCAGTAAAACAAATGAATTACAATAAAATGGCAATAGCAATCAACCAATCATGGAAGGGGCCAGAGGTCTTCCACACCCTTGTCCTGCATTGATGCTGTCCAGGAATTGGTTGGTTGGTTGTTTTATTGTTTAACGCCGCACTCAGCAATATTCCAGATATATGATGACAGTCTGTAAATAATCGAGTCTGGACCAGACAATCCAGTGATTGATATCATGAGCATCGATCCAAGCAATTGGGATCGATGACATGTATCAACCAAGTTAGCGAGCCTGACCATCCGATCCCATTAGTTGCCTTTAACGACAAGCATAGTTGCCTTTTACGGCAAGCATGGGTTGCTGAAGACCTATTCTACCCCGTCCAGGAAATTGGAGCATAGTAGTAACTAGAATGTGTTATAATAATAGTTTGCGATTGCATTATTGGTTTGTGAAATATCCAGACAAACGGAGCATTATACAGTAATATTTTCATTTTTCACAACAGTTGTCCGGCCGGCAGGATTTCTGGACAACTAGCTTCGTACAAGCTGGGTTCCATTGTCAATTGTCAATTATAACTGACTTAAAATGACTACTTAGAATCAATTTCAATTTCAAATCCTCAACATGATTTCTGGGACTTGACATGAAACACGTCAACCTAGCACAGACAGAAAGAATGTATTCAGTACTACAGGCAACAGTCTGTTTGTTCACCGCTAAGAGTTGTGTGTCAACTCTAAAACCCATGGGCTGGATACAAAATCAATGTGAAAGACTTGCCTGTATAGCATATATATTTTATGAAAACTTCTCCCACTTTGTCAACACTGCACTTTCGTCATTCATTCAGAGTTGCCTCCCCTTGACCACACATTTCTCCCACATCATTGATCGACAATCCATCTGTCTAAACAGTCACATCCTATAAAATTGATATAGCCGTTACCAATTCCGACCAGGAGAATGAACTAAATCCATTATGCTTCTATTAATCACCTCTTCTACTGAAGGAAAGTATTCATCATGTTCATAATGAAAACATTTCATAACAAGGATTGTCCCCACATGTTTTTTTGCTTCAAGACCTTGACCAACATATTTACAATAGCAAGTCTGTGAGTGCACAGCGAAACCTACACCACGTGGGGTAGTGACTGTTGACACATCCACTCCCGTGGAGGCCGCCCAGACACGTGTGTAGTATCACATCGTCACATCCTCTCACACATCGCCTGGGGTTGTTACATTGTATTTGTAATATCAAACATGTGAGGGACAGGTCGAACAACATTATCTCCCTTCACTAAAACTAATTTCAAAACAATGGAGTCTGGACAGATTTTGGTGACATAAAGATCACTGACCAGGTCCTCAACAAAGTTTCAATTTTAGAAAAAATATCATTCATATATTTTGGTTCTTATGACAGTTTAGAGTTTTTGAGTTTCTGAGTTTTTGAGTTTTTGAGTTTTTGAGTGAGTGAGTGAGTGAGTGAGTTTTACAGCTTAGCAATATTCCAGCAATATCACGGCTGGGGACACCAGAAATGGGCTTCACACATTGTACCCATGTCGGGAATCGAACCAGGGTCTTTGGCATGACAAGCGAACGCTTTAACCACTAGGCTGGCCGACCGCCCCGACAGTTTAAGAGAATGGATTGATATTTGGGCTGCAATGAATACACTATGAGGCCAAAACAATGCATATCACGAAAAATAGGGTAACAAATACGAATATTAATTCATGAATACAAGAAGTCAGCCGTTGATGTATTATTTATCGTATTCAGTGAAACAATAACAAAATAAATTATTTGTCATGGTTTGACCATGTTGACCGTGTTAATTATTATCATTATACATTTATATACTGCACTTATTCAGGTAGTATCTGCTCAAATGTGACAATGTCCAGTGACCACATTACTGTCAAATGAAATATATAAGAGTTGTCTTTCTTAAGAAATCTATAACATAACAGACAAATTCAAGTAAAAAACACTCTTTAAAATTGTAAATATTTGATTCCAGTGACTGCGAATAACGAATTCAGTTCATGAAGGGATACGGTTCGATCCACCGTATACGTGAGTGAATCGTGACAGCCCTAGTGTTATGCAGACAGTGAAGTGTATGCAGTATGGGCAAACGTTCAGTGGATAATGTATCAGGTACAACATGTCAGTTGACAATCTCATTAAAATCAGACATTGTACTCTGATGTGATCCCTCTCTGGGTGATGATCTGACAAGAGGTCCTATAAGGTGACACTCACGAAACTTTGATCACCCAATCTAAACAAAACTCACTTCAGCCAATCAGATGCTAGCTTTCTTAAACGATTCTTTTAAAACTCTTTTCAACCCTGAGTGAGTGAGTGAGTGAGTGAGTGAGTGAGTGAGTGAGTGAGTGAGTGAGTGAGTGAGTGAATTGTCTTACGCTGCTTTTAGAAATATTCCAGCAATATCACGCCGGGGGATACCAGAAATGGGCTTCACACATTGTACCCCAAGGGGGAATCGAACTATTGTCTTCAGCGTGACGAGAGATCGCTCTCTTGATTGATATAGTTGGATCATAACAAATAAACTCTACACAGAAGACAAATATTCCCTCAAAAGTCCCCCCTCCCCCCTTTGCACCTAAGTCATCCCATTGTGCTCAGTAATGACAGGGTGTACAAAACATCCCAAACAATTAGCACTGCCTTTAATTTTCCATTAGGAACTGACTGCTGATATTCATTTTCTGAATTCTTCACATGGACCAGGAATTTAGAAGCCTAAAAGCTGATTAGAAAGTTCGCCTGATACGACCTCTCAGGAGGGTTTTCCAATTCTCATGCAGAAAGAAAGTTGTATCCGAGTATAGGTTCAGATTGTAATGAGATTGTGTCAGTTCATCACAGGTGGCAAATTTCTAAGTCCTAACAATAACAGCCTTTGACATTCACACATTGCTAGCCCCAGACTACTACATTGTGCTGAGGATATGTTTTGTTTGTTGTTTAACGCCACACACAGCAATGTTCCAGCTATATGACAGCAGTTTGTAAATAAACATCATGAGCATCCATCCAGCCAATTGGGACACGATGACATGCATCAACCAAATCAGCGAGCCTGACCACCTGATCCCGTTACTCACCCTTTACGGCAAGCATGGGTCGTTGAAGGCCAATTCTACCCCGGATCTTTAGGGTCTGCTGAGGACCGGTCAAAATCAATGGTAGTCCTCATGGAGTAGTAGCATTTGAGGGCGATAATTTTGAACCATTTCTCTCACTCATCAGTTGAGAGACGATCAGTTTGTTTGTCACCAATACTTTCATCACAACCATACTGACCACCCAGTGTCAGTTCCTAATTTACTGTCTCCAAATCAAGAATATGTCTCAAGAAATATCAGTTTGCATTAGAACGGAGAAAATTACCAATCTTTCCATCATGATTACAGGTGACCATTGTTCTGTATAGCCTACAATTTCAAATGAACCAAAAGACATATATATATATCTCTATCCCAAAACAGCAGGACACCAAAATAATTTCAGTAAAAAAACTTCCAAATTAAATTAAAATGACTACCGGTTTCACAATATCGTACAAGTATTTTTCCTGATTCCTATCATGTTGTATGCACTCTCAAAATAACAGAAATTATTCCCATTATCATGACTATGTCAAAAGTCTAAGTCTGCAAGTCAGACTTTTGCACTTAATGATTTCAATTCAACTTCTTCCCTTCTCTCCTGTGCCACATATTTTCAATGAAGTTGATTTTTTCTGTACCCGAGTTTCCCGCGAAGTAATGAACGTCACACGTATACTCTGTCACATATTACTCAACATTTGTTTACAATCACCTGGAGAGCGGATATGGTAGTCGGGAAACGCCCGAACAAGACTCTAAAATTTGGTCTGGAACTCGTATTGTTTCATTCAAAGTATGAAATCGAAGACAAATGTGCACTACTTACAACACAGGAAGTATATACGTTGTTAAAAAATAAAGCTAAATTGGGCTCCATTCCGGAGACTAAAATTTGGTCTAACCTAATTTTTCTGAAATTGAAAACATACACCTGGTTTTCGTACCCCTGAGTGTTTATTGCAGGCGAAGGATTTGTTGTGTTGTTTTCAGCAGGCCCTGGCTCGTTCAAACTTTTTTTAACCAAATCTTGTAATTGTAGTCTGTTTTATGTGAGTGAAAGAGTGGATTTCATTTTTTGGCTGCAGTCAGCAATATTCCAGCTGTATAGAGGCAGCCAGTGGAAGATTAAGTCTGGGCCAGACAATCCAGAGATTGACTGTAAAAGCATCCCACAATGTTGAGGTGCACCTGGTCAAACACTGTATTCTTAATTTAGTCGTGAGTGAGTGAGTTGGGTTTAACGCCGCTTTTAATAGTATTCCAGTTATATCACGGCGTGTCAGCTTAATGTAGGAGGAAAGCCCGAGTGATGCAGGTGTCAGACGTTTATCACTTCGGTGAAACCCACAAGTATGGGTATGGTGCTGACAAACCTAGAAACATAATCGGGGCAAACCGGGATTCAAACCCACAATCATAGGATACTTGCATGCCCAAGGGACACAACTCTGTGCGAATCACGGCACCTTAGACACCGGGCCACCCGTGCCCCCTTTAGTCTCTAGAGTCTGAGACATGGACTAACTGCAGCCCACACAACACAGCCATGTTGTTCTGCTACTTTCTAGGTGGGGTCAACTGTTTTATAAATACACCTATCTTATCATGCTTATCAAGCACAACTTGAACAAAATATAATAGATTACTATATAGGCCTGTAACCAAAACACTGTTCCGAAATGAAGGCAGGGTCATGAATCACAGACCCATGAAAAAACCTTCACACTTTGACAGGCAGTTGGAATAAAAGCCTGTTTTCATGAACAACAACTTCTGTACTGCTCTTGTCACTGTTCCGTGGCTACTTACTGCCTCTTCATCATCTGAGGATGTGTGTTTGTTTGTTGTATAACTCCACACTCAGCAATATTCTAGCTGTATGACGACAGTCTGTAAATAATCGAGTCTGGACCAGACAATCCAGTGACTGACATCATGAGCATCGAACCACACAACTGGGATACGATGAAATGCAACAACCAGTCCTATAAGT